AAAAAAAAAAAAAAAAAAGTGCCATGGTGTCAGCCTAACTTACAGCAACCCCAAACTCCTTGGTTCAAGCCATCCTCCTGCTTCAGCCTCCCAAACACCTGGGACTACAGGTGCCTACCTCAACGCCTAGCTGATTTTTATTTTCTCAGTAGAGACTAGGTCTTGCTCTTGCTCAAGATGGTCTGGAACTCCTGAGCTTAAGGGATCCTCCTGCCTCACTTCCTAGAGTGCTAGAATTATCAGTTCCACCTCAAAGGCCCATTACATATACTTAAAAAAAAAAAAAGACCTTCACCAGTGTTTCCCCACACCTCAAAACCCAGTCTCTCAAGAGTACCAGGGCCCGCTCATTCCCCACCCCTGCCAGTTTTCTTCCAACACACAAAGGTCCTGCCTGCACCTGTGAACTTTGCCTGACGTGTTCTTCCCTGCCCTGACTCCCGTCATCTCAGAGATCCCACTGCCCCACCCATCTCAACCAGCACCTCCCTAGTTTTCCCCAGTAGAGGGCACAGGCCTCACCAGGGGCTCCAGGATCAGTCCCTGTCTCCCCATCTGAGAAGTATCAATGAAGGACACACACTTCTTTGATTTCCAGTAGGAGGGAAAACACCAAGAACTTAATAAGCAAGGGAGGTAAAAGCCTCACTCAGATTTTTTTTTTTGAGACAGTCTCACTACGTCACCCTCAGTATAGTGCCATGGCATCACAGCTCACAGAAACCTCAAACTCTTGGGCTTATGCAATTCTCTTGCCTTAGCTTCCCAAGTAGCTGGGACTATAGGTACCTGCCACAATGCCCAGCTATTGTTTGTTGCAGTTGTCATTGGTGTTTGGTGGCCCCGGCATATGTGGCTGGCACCCCAACCACTAAGCTACAGGCGCTGAGCCACCTGCTCAGATTTAGTATTTGCTGAGAAGCCTGTCTGTCCCTTCCTGCCATGGTTAACCCCTGTGGACTTCCCCACTGGCAGGCCCTGCCAGGGCCTGACACATGCACATATATAGGAGCCCCTGGCTGCTGACATTAGGCCCAGGCATCCCTGTACCCCATACCCCACCAGGCAGGATCCCTCAGCACACTCTTGGGGGGAGTGTGCCCCCTGGGGGAATATGGGCTGAGATGACTCAATCTCCTGCCTCAGCCTCCCAAGCACCTACGGGAACTACAGGTGCCTCATAGGTGTCCCCTGCCCCAGGATCTCCTCAACCCTGGGCCAGCTAGGTCCTCCTCCACAGGTTACTAAACATGGGTGGGGGACCAAGGCTATTTTTCTCACTTTGGGCCTGGAGATATTTCCTTGCATGGGCTTGGCAGCTGAGGCAGATGGAACAGGTGGCCAAGCCAGGTGCAATGGTGTCTGCAACCTCCTGGACTGAGAACTGCAGGCACCTGCACTCATATGCAAGGGGAAGGGGGCCACCAACCCCAAGACACAGATGGGGAGAAGGGCAGACAACCCTAGAATTCAGATGGCATCAATAGCCTGTGCTCCCCATGCAGGGGAAAATGAGTCTGGGGTGCGCTGCCAGGGCCAAGGGAATGGTAGCGCTGCATGACGACACCAATAGGGTTAACACAGTTTCAGGGCATCAGATGCTGGTTAAAACACCCACCAACACCAGATGGATTTCCCACAGCTGCCCATGCACCAGGACACAGGGCGAGGTCCCAATGTCCATGTGGGGATCAGGCCAGCAGGTTGTTGAGAGAAAACACCAAAGGAATGAAACCCAGATGATCTACATAGTGCATGAGTTGGTGGGACTGAGGGCAGGGCAGGTCAGGCAGGCCATGAAGCAGGGCCAGGGCCCTCAGGAACGTCCTGTACTCAAGAGGATTCTGAGGCCAATGTAGACTCCTTCTTGAAGGTCAAGTATTGGAGTTGAGGTGCTGGTACTGTGCCCCAGCCCAGAACTAGGCCTTGGGTCTCCACTCTGCCCACCCAGCTCAGGACTGCAGATAGCAAGCTCTTGACACTGCCCACACTTGCTGTGCCAGGCCTGTTCCCATCTACTTTTCAACAAAGAGCCCATGGTTTTCACCCCTAGGGTGCCAGTCCTGATCAGCTTTCCCTCCTGTCTTACTCATTTCTCACCTTAAAGTCTTCCTCTGTGCCTGCAGGCCTCAGACAGGGCCACCTCCCAGAGGAGTCCTGTTTCCTCCACTGTACCACAAAGCCTGGGCTGAGCTGAAATCCAGCCATCCCCACCCCCAAGCCACAAACCCAGGAGGGTGTCAGGGCAAGAGTAAACAGCAAGGAGCCGTGTTGTGAATGCAAGCAAAACCCAGAGACGGGTGAGTTCCTGCTGAGCATGAGTTTATCCAGTCCCCTCCAAGCTGGCCACATGGGCCATGGGTGTCAGCCTGGGACAAGACCATACTCGCTCTCCAGAGGCCAGCGTCCCGACTGCCTGACTCAACAGTGTACAGCAGAGGCCAGATGTTCTCTCCAGCTGAAGTTTTCATCATTGCCTGGCCTCCTCCGCCTGCCACACCAGCTCACCCGAGATGTAGGTGGCCCAGACATGGAGGGAATCATCGAGCACCACGAAGTCTGGGTCAGAGCGCAATAGTAAAAAGGGGGCTGAGGCTGGGATACCACCCTAGCCCCAACTGGAGTCCTTCCCCACAACCCAAGGCTGGTGGGTAAACTGAGGCCCAGGGCCACAACTTGTACAAGACTCTCTGACCCATCACAGACTGACAGCACTGTTGGAACAAAAATCTCCAACTCCCAGCAGTGAGGACAAGGAACAATCTCTGCAAGCCCTTACCAGGCCTTGTCCTGGATGCCAGAAAGCCTGGCCTAACAGGCACCCGGCCCAAACTGAAGCTGGCAGGGCAGGGCTGCTTGAGAGTGGGCACTGAGAAAAACCCACCCTTCTCAATCCTGACCTGCATCAGCTCCAAAGTCCAGGGTTCCTTTATATTTCTCCAGCCCCAGCAGCTGGGCAGGGTGCAGGGATGCAGCCTCCAGGGCTGACTCCACACTGCAGCCTGCTCAGAGAATACAGTTTGGTGACAATCCCCAACCCATGGCTGTGCCAGCAGCACCCAATAGCTCCAGAACTCCCATCTCAAGAACTTTGTGGCAGGTTAACAAGGACCCCAGCTCTGAGTCTTCAGGGTGACAGTCACCCTGAATAGGAGTCACTGAGTGCCTGGTGCCTGTGAACTTGTGGGCAGGGCTTTGGCAATATCCCAGGGTCCAGTCCATGCCCTGGGAACCCACTGCCATAGACAAAGGATGCAGGGCAGGACCAGACAGCCCCACTCCTCCCCCCAGCTTCTCCCAGATGCAGGCTTGGCCCCCAATGCACACACGGACCAGCTCAGCACCAACTCACTGACCTGTGGCCTGTAGGAAGTGCCGGACACAGACATCCATTGGGGCTATGCTGCCACTCAGCGTCTTGGTGCCTTGAGAACAGAGGCCAGGCTCTGGGGGGCTGTGGGCCACCAAGTCATGGCCAGGGCCCAGAGGCAAGTAGGGCACACTTGGGTTCTCACCTCCCTCTAGAGGGGACCCAAGGGGCTGTTCTCATGTGGACAGTCAGTGGGTAGGGGGCTACTCACCTGCCACATAGGCTGTCAGCCCATCCACCTCCACCTCCTGCTGCCCTAGTGTGTGTCGGCCATTGCCCAGGCCCAGGGCAGGGATGGCATCGGTGACCAGCACCAGTCCTGGGGGAGAAGGGACTCACAACCTGCCTCCCCATTGCCTTACTCGTCCCACCCTGCCCTGCAGCTCACCCTTGGGATGGGCCCGGTGGGCAATGCGCAGGGCAGCAGGGTTGGTATGCATGCCATCAGCTATCATCCCGTAGAAGATACTGCGGCCTGGGGGCAGCCGATCACTGGTCAAGAGCCCCACAATGCCTGGGTCACGGTGGTGGAACTATAGAGGGTCCAGAGGAGATAGCTAAGTGACAGCAGGGCTGCCAAGCCCTATGCCCCCGGGAGCTGGGGCAGCACTCACAGGCAGCATGGCATTGAAGAGGTGAGTGATGAAGGTGGCTCCACTCTGTACCGCTGCCTCTGCCGCCCGCAGGTCAGCCACTGAGTGCCCTGGGCAAGCAACCTGGACTCAGACTCGGCACCTGGCCGAGGAACCCTGACTGGTCCACCCATGGCAATGGTCCCCCCTTACCTAGGGATACACAGATGCCACGGGATGTCAGCTCCTGGATCACCTCGAGGCTGCGGCCCAGCTCAGGGGCTAGTGTCACAATTCGGACATTGTCCAGGGACCCATAGATGGCCAGCATATCACGGAAGGCGTTAGCCTCAAAGGAGCGGAGGTGGGCCTCAGGGTGTGCACCCCGCTTCTCCCAACTGATGAATGGACCCTCCAGGTGCAGCCCTGGAGGAGGGGAAGAGAGCAGCTCCAGCAGGCCCCTGACCCATCCTGGCCCCTCACCTGCCCATCCTCCCTCCCCAATTGGGCATCTAGGGGGATGGGGCTTGCAACAGGTATCCCAGGAGCCTTCCAGAGTGGAGTGGGGAGGGGGTCAGCCACTCACCGAGGACCCCTGCCCCATGGGGACCACCACGCGTCACAGGGATCTGAGGAAGGACCTGGGGGGAACCAGCTGTTAAAGCCCTGGCCCCACAGCCCAGTGTCCAGAGGTCACAGCCCAGCAAAGGTCAGAGATCACAGTGGGTCAGAGTTTAGAGCCCAGCCCCCATTCCAGCCCACACTGGCCAATCCCTCAGGTATTAGATAGTAACCAAAGGCCCCTAACAGTAGTCAGTCAGGAAAATCTCAGGTGTCACATTATGGGATACATGGCCCAAAAAGTAGGGTTCAAGGAGGGTGGCCAGATTCTATCCTCCACTAGAACTCCCCAACCCCAACAAAACTAAGGGGATTTTTAAGAGGCTTAAACTCAGGGGAATAAAGCAAATGGGGGAGGGACCGGCAGTCAGCTCGGCAACACTGGGCAGATCTACACAGGTGCACACAGTGGAGAAAGGGACCCCTGTGGGCTCAGGCTTTGTCAGCACCTGGTACCTTGAGAAGTGGTATGCCGGGGACCAACAAAGGAGACTACTGGTTAAGGAGAAGCTGGCTTCCCCTCCTCCCTCAGGTCAAGTGTGCCTAGGGAGCATGCAGGGAAGTAAACCCTCTGTGCCAGGGGAAAGCTCAAAGCCCAGCAGGGAGCAGGTAATTAAGCAAAGTCTGTGTTCATAAAGCCCTCAGCATGAGCCAGACAGGTGGTTCCCTCTTTAACAGGGACCTGATCAGGTCAAGGGAAAGGACCCAGAGACTGACCTCTGGGTATCCCCAGGAAACACCACCTCCAGGCTAAGTGCTCCCAGTCTGTTCTCAGAAAGCAACAAACTTAGCAGTTTGCCAGGCAGCTTGAGAAAGCCTGGAAAAGGAGACAGAGCACAACAAAGAGGACAGCAATAGGGGGAAGCCAAAATTGGGAGGAGACAAAGACAGAGAAAACAGCCATCATTAATACCCTCAGGGCAATAAGAGGTTTGACTCCATAAAACAAGAACAAGATGTTAGAAAAAGAACACTGGAAGGCAGAGCCTGTGGCTCAGTGGGTAGGGCACTGGCCCAATATATAGAGGGTGGCAGGTTCAAACCCAGCCCCAGCCAAACTGCAACCAAAAATTACCCAGGTGTTGTGGCGGGTGCCTGTAGTCCCAGCTACGTGGGAGGC